GCAAACAGACACAAAACTTGGCTATAAATGTCTGATTATATCCTYAGGAGTTTCAGTTACTTGACCTAAGCCAACAGCAACACACAAAGGCAATGCAGTACCAACCACCACTCTCAAACTGTCAGCCCTAGCCAAGAACTTGATTTGCAAGGAAACCCTGCAGAGTGGTGCATGGGCACAGCTGTCAGGGCTTTGGCACTGAAGGGGCTGYAGGGTGTCAGCAGCAGCCAGCACAGGAATCATGGAATGGCTGAGGATGGAAGAGACTTCTGGAGGTCACCTGGTCCAACCTCTCTGCYCAAGCAGAACCAACTGCTAAAGCAGACTGCCTGTGACCATGTCCTGATGGCTCTTGTGGTGACTCCACAACCCCTCCAGGCAAMCTGTGCCAGTGCTCCATYCCCCTCACRTTAAAAAAGTGCTTCCTTATATTCAGATGGATCCTCCTGTGTTTCAGGTAGAGCCCATTACCTCTGCACTCCAACACTGCCAGAGGAGCTGCTGATGCTTTGACAAATGTATGTTTAAGACAGGGCTGTAAAGCCAAGTAAAAGAGATTACAGTGCTACAATAGGAGGAGAAAAAAAGGATAAGCCCATATTGGCACAAGAGAAACTGAGAGACAGCTAAGCAGGAGAAACACCAAAGGACAATCATAATCTGAGCAGTGGCTGAGAGTGAACTCAAAAGGTGCTACAACTCCACACGGACTGTGGCTGGTGATGAAAACCACAAGAGAGCAGCATAACAAAAAACAAAGAGCAGTGAAGAAACAAAGCACAACAGACTGATTCCAGTCTCCTGTGCTGCCCAGTGCCTTGCTGAAGGGACTGAGCATGACAAGCAGTCAAAGGACTGGAGGATGGCATGGGGAGAGAGAAGGAAGACCAATGTCTGGGGAAAAGCAGCAGTGYTTTCCTTAAGTGTTTTAATTATTTTTAATTCCAACCAAAGCAGTAACTAGAAAACTCKAACTGACAATAAATTAAATTGATTAAAACTCCCCAACTCAAAACTTACTGGCCCTGAAAAGCCATGTCCTCAACTGACATTAGTTAAAATTAAGGGCTTTCTGGCCCTTTTAAAGACAAACAGTATATACAGAAAAACCATGTTCTAACTGTAATTAATATTCTCTGTAAAAACCTTAAGTCTTTTAAATAAATTTAAATGGCCTTTAAGAAAAACTTCAAAGAGAAGGATGACTTGAGGACTTTAAGTCATGGATTCCCACACAAAYAAAAATGTTTTGTAGTTTCTTAAAAATCAATTAAATACAAAGTGACAAAAAAGCTCAACATAAAGAGGTAGCTTAAAAAAAAATCAAAGTATTATTCAATTCAGGAAGCAAAGATAGTGCAATAGAAGTATCCACATGAAAAATACACTTCCCATTTCCACATAACTTACTCAAATTTTAACAAGAACAAAATAACATTTGGCTTGGATTTTGAAGAGTGAAAGGGATCAAACATTAGAAACCAGTATTTTAGAGGCATACTTGGAATCACACCATGCACAGCTCTCACCACAAATCACCCAGCAGTTGTTTGCTGTATAACAATTTTCATCAGTGTTTGCAACACTGATTTTTTTCTTAAAAGCATCAGAACTGCCTGTTGCCCACACAAGTTTCCATAATTTAAAAACATTTTGTTTGAAAACACATGTGCCAGATACCTCTCCTGGGATATTTTTAAGCAAATACAAAGTTTCCTTACTGCCATATTTTTTGCCCAACTCCTGATAAAGTAGGTATAATACGAGCACCACAAATGGGTTGGTGAGAAGCAGTAATGTGTACTAGAGACCAGTTTCATCGACAAATTTTAGTAAATGAGGGTGGGCAAGTATTTAAATGTAATTCCATCCTACAATCTTGCTGCATATGAACAAGAACCATGACCCATGGTACCCCTTCATTCTGTATATGCAGTAGAGAATGGTTTAAGAGAAATAATCTTTCTTCTGCGGGTAATCAGCCCTTGCTGCACAAAGTTTTAGCCACCTGCTTTTCTTTTACTGACAAACATGCAGCCATGACAAGGCTGACTTGAAGTGAATATAAGTCGTAAAACGCATTTAAACTTCATACATTATTATTTAGCAATGCCTCAAACAGAATGTGTATTTTATAAAAATCTGATAAGATCCTATGAAGCTCCAGACAAGCTGTTATTAGCAATGCTAATTTGGAAGATCAATGCATGACCTAACAAATTCCAAAATGTGCAGTTTTTAACCAGGTTTTATCAGTCTTAGAATAAACTTTGACATTGTCAACTCAGAATCAAACAGACTCTGCAGATTTCTGTGTAATSGCTATATGATATAAATTCTGAATGCTCTAAAAAATGAACACTTTCATCCTTCATTTTATTTCTTTGGTTTCTCAGAAACAAAAGCTACTTAAGTGAACTGAGCAATGAAAGACAAGCAAACAAAGGTAACTCTGTCCCTATAGTTTCAGAGATGCTTGTAAATACCAGTTCTGGCAAGCTGCATGGAAGAATTCTAAATGAAGGCAGCTAGAACTAGTTTTGGACTATTGCTTTCCAGCAAAAACYGTCTTTGGCACTTACATAATCCAATTCCAGGATGCTACTTTATGCATAGTCCCATAAAAAACTGATGGAGGAAATTCAAGATTACTTTTACAAAACAGGCACTTCAAATTAGAATGAAAATAATCTGTTCCCTTTTTTTTCACAATGACAGAAAGTAGTACCAAAATTAACATCAGAAAGTTCAATAAATTCAGACTATTGGGGTACAAGTTCTATCCAGCTTTGCTAGCCTTAAATAACAGTAGCACCTGGAAAATCTGAAGGCTACAACAGACTAGACAAGGCATTAAAAATATGGGAGAAAAACCCATGGAAAAACATGGAAAAATTACGTATAGATTTGTTTGCTCTCCAATTCTACACTTAGATCTGCCAGAGAGGTTCTTTTAATGTAGGTGTCTTTCTTCCATGTAACACATCTTGAAGCAAGATACAATGAATAAGACTGCAAATACAGCTATACCCTAACTCTTCTGTTTGGTAAACAGCTGAATATAGACATTTCTGACACAGGCATTGTGTCAGGCCAGACTCATTTCCACCATCAAATGACAGAACTGCTTTTGGGCTTTTCTGACATCTTTACTGCAAGGCTCACAGCTTGCAGTCAGATTCAGMTGTGTCAAAGAGCATGACAAAAGARGCTCTAAYAGGGTGGGAAAAGGGATACATAGCACACCAACCTTCAGCTAAAACAAAATACTACTAACCAAATCTGCATTCAGTGATTATGCAGAAGACTCAGGAACAAGAATTTTAGTCAAATGTTTCCTTTCACATACTCCAGGAAAAATTCCTCACCTTCCCCTTTTCTTCAGTACAAGAAAAAGATTCTCTTGCAAACTGCTTTTACATGCTTAGGTAAAATACACTGGAAAATGTAYGGCTCAACTGTATTCCCCACAGTTCTGCAAATGATATCCTACTAACCTCAGTACATCCACACAATTTGGAAACCTCAGCATGGACTGCACACTGTGAGCTGATGAGCATGTGGCTCCAATCCTTAAAGCCTTGGCTGTAACTATGGTGGAAACATGGAGAGGTGGAGGCATGTTCTTCACTCAGCATCGTGCCCGGAACACAGAGTCATCTCTGGTCCTCTTTTAACACATTCTGGTATGTCAGGGGTCTCTGAACTGCACTTTCCCAATTCCTAAATAGAAAGCACTAGCTTTGTTTCCAGGGGAGGTTTTAAAAAATAAAGTTGTCTAATCACTTTTGTATTGTATTCTCTTCAGTCTAGCAAAAGCAGCCAGGTAGTAAAATCCTTTCAGAAAGCTGAACCATAATTTACAAGAGGTTGTATGACAAGAATACATTAAATAACTTCAACACTCCTGTCCTAAAGGAAAGCTGGCAAATGAAGCCATAATGACCAGTTATACACCATTCTCCTAAAGATGGCCTTCCAAATTTTAATTATTTTGGTGCCACGCCATTTCATAAAGAAGCTGAATCCAAAAGAAAACAGGCAGGCCACATGTTATATTGATCCAAAAACCATTTAATCACTGAAGAGGCTGTGATGGACACAGCTGACATTAAAACAGAAATTATGAAACTGATATTCCCAATATGACACCCTGGAACCAATGCTAACTCTGAAAGCAGAAGCTTCAAGTCAAGACAGGGAGCAARAAGGGTATTTCTACCCAACAGCTGCTATCTTGTTTTTTCATTTACCCTTGCCCTAAAGTGTTTCAGTTGAATCCTCTACTTTTTTTTTTACTTCTTCCAACTAATTCTCCTCCATGCTGCCTCACATGACCTGTCCCTCCCCTTCACTCTTAGCTGTATTTCATTTATCACTTATGTGGTCCCCAGATAGGTGAGGTATACTGGGGATTCTGTTGAGACAGTATTAAGACCAGACTAATCAGCACCATAGGAAAGGCTCTCTTCTCTCTAGCATAATCCCACTAAGAGAGTTACCTGGGAAAAAAAAAAGAATCACAGTCAAAGGAATCGGGGGAAGAAATTCCATCTTAGGGAAAGGTATCTTAGTGCCTGCACAAAACAAAAATAGCTAATACTACTACTCTAGCAAAAAAACATGGGAGAAGATTATCACACTGCACTGAACTATAGCAAGGACCTTGGTTCTCAGGCTCTTAGCACCACAACTGATGCATTCAGTGCTGTATCATCCTCTGCTTTCCAGTAGCTCCTCATGACAAACTTACTACCCAGACACTCAGATTTACTGATCAGGACTACTCAGACTTCAAAACCACAAGCTCTCTCTGACCTTCCAAACTGGGTTTTAAGGTAACACAGTTGTGAGACCAACAGGCACTGTCCAGTAAGGAACCTCTGCTCAGCACACAGGAAATGTTGAGGCTACAGAACACTCTGCTGCATCTCTCACCAGTGAATGGCATATACAGCACATCACAATATTGTAAAGGGTTACATTTAATGGCTAAAAAAAAAAAAAAGAGCAGGTTTCTGTACCAGAAAGCCACTCATATCAAAAATGAATAGCCTCAGAAAATAAAGTTAATGCACTGAATGGATTTGAACTTCAGAACACAAAGCTGGAGAGTAAAGTCAGATACTATATTGCTGAGTTCCTCCAGCAGGGATTCTTTCCTCTACACTCTCTAAATGAACTGCTATGAGAAACAATGGAAGACTGAAAATTCCTTTTAAAATACTCCCTTTAAAATTAAAAAACAAACAAACAAACAAACATGAAAACATGGGACAGATTTAAGGTTAAAATAAGAGCAGCAATTCCTATGCAAAAAAAGAGCTAATTTTGTCTTCACTGTTGTTTTTGCTGTTTTAAATATGTGTACCAATGACATAAAAGTGCATGAGTGGAGAGGTATATATTTTAAGTTGAAGACTCACAAAATTTAGCTCAGGTCCTGCAAAGAGTAATCTTCTCCACCTGAACCATTACCAAATCTTCCTGTTAATGAAAATTATATTSAAGTGTCTTGTGGCATTACAGTATTGATAGGAGCAGATAATGACATTTCCTGTCTGCCTCTTAAGCGACTTTACCCCACCCAACACCTGAAAAGGGACAGAGGCAACAAACACCTAAAAACAACTGTTGGTTCTTGGCAACATGTTAATGCTGGGAGGCTTAATGCTGTTCACCATCAGCAACAAAAAGTCATATTYCCAACTGCCCATATATTAACATGTGAATAAAAAAATTTAAAAATATTTGAAAAAATTCAACCTTTTAAACTATTTCTGAGTACCTTATTTGGTGAAATTTTCTKATATACAAGAGGGCCAAATAAGGCAGAAAGACTACCCAGCTGRGTTTAAAAGTGCCACATATACAACTATTCAACACGCTGGGGACAAAAAAAAGTGAACACCACGGGTGAGAATTCTGCCAGTGAAATTTATAATACAGGCAAAAATCACAATGATATTGATACACTGTCCAAAGAAACTGAAGTTCCCAACTTTGCCTACAGACAATGCCTGGCTCAAGCTCAGACCCAGTAGGAAGGGTGCATGTGTGAAACTGCAGCCTCTGGGCTGCCCTCTGCCCCAACCAGGGCAGTGGCACTTTACCCAGCATTACAGTTCCCAGTGAACAAAGTTCAAGCAGCTAGCTGCAAACTTCAGATGCTGTTTACTTTCATTTCTTTGCAGAGTAAAGGAACATCCTAGTTTAACCAGGAAATATTCAGCAGACATTTTTTTGATATTTTTAGTCCCACCTTTTTTAATTYTAAATCTACAAAAATGGCTTGTGAGCCTGAAAATATATTTGCTGCCATTGTGTGGCACTTTGCTAGGAACTCAAGTAGGAAGACTAACAAACACTTTATGGAACMCAGTCTTAACAAAGAAAACGTCACAGGTTAGATGACAAAGATGAATGTCATCAAGAAAACTGAATCTTTGTAAGGCCTCATGTTTTGTAGTTGGAGTATTTCATACGTTCGTGTTTCATATTTCAAGATTCCATATCCCTCTAATGAAGCACTTACAGAAAGTTCAGTAAAAACAGGAAAGCGAAGTTGTTTTCCTTAACAAGGACAAGAAAGCAGGTGCTTGAGCAAGCACCGATTAAACAACATCAAGAAACCAAAGAAGTCCAAAGAGATTTGTTTTCTTTTTAAATGAGAACCTTATCTACACATAAAATTTCTAAATGAACACTAGCAGCTTCCTGACAATAATGCCCAAAATGTAACAGCACYCCACAGTTCCTCTTATCACTTCAGAGTTAAGTATTTTCCATAAATAAAAACACAGATATGTCCACAAAAGAGAGCTATACATTCTAACATACCTCACACACACAGCATGTGATAAATACCTCACCTTTGTCGCACCCAGGAAATTAAATCCATCACAGAATTATTTCACTCCATAGAKAAGTTGCTGAGCTTCAGTATTTATGGCAAAGTAAGGAGAAGGTAAAAGTAGGCAAAGTTACAAACAGCAGTGCTGAGATGTGGGGAACATGAGGCAAACAAATGCACAAGAGAGACYAAGAAAAAGCTTTGTATATGAAAAGGGCAAAAGAAGTCAGTAATGTTCCTTATGTTTGCAGGCTTGCTCTTTTGTGTAGTCCTTCCTCCCAGCCTTCCATTATCACTAAGTTAAASCCCAGCTCATGACTAACCAGGTGTGCACACAAAGAAACCCTATGTTCAGATGCCTCTCCTCTACTGAATATACAAAAGCCACTTTAGCATATAATTTCAGGAATTTGCTCCCAYTGGAGTAGCAAACAACACATTCTCTGACCCCTTTCACCCTATGAGAAAAAACAGTGGTTTTTTTCAAGTTTATCAATTTGTATTAAAACAAAAATCCACCAACCCTGAAAATAAAATAACTTGTGCAGTCCAAAGCTGTCTAAGCCTAAGTTATTTCCTGGGCTTCTGAAATGCATCATCCCACTCTTGCTGTCTCACCTGGCTTCAAATGCAGTCTGTGCACTGTCATTCTGAATCACAAGAATTGGAATGGCTGCCCCATATGGAGAGCATCAGAGATGTCATCAGTCTGAACAGTACTCAAATCCCTCTCTTAGTAAGGAAAAACACAGGCACTTGCCCAGTTACAKTCCCTGACAAGCAAGGTCCCCAGTACTTGTCATACAGCTGGATTGACTGGACAAGAAAAGGCATCTATTAGGCCAGTGTTTCTTCTTTTCATTACTTGATCATATGAGTCTCTTCATCAGCATCATAAAACTCCTCATCTTCACTCCCTGTAGAACTGTCCTTGTCTCCAGGCTAGAAGCAAAAAGGAAGTTATTAGTTAGAACAGAAACCACGAAATCAATCTCAACATACATAAGCATCAACCATTACATTTCTGTGGAATGCTGGTAAAGTAAGAAAACACAGGTCAAACCACTGTACTAAAACTTTGTAACACCTTATGTGAAGAACCAAGGAATTAAATTCCAAGTATCTTTAAAAGAGATGGGGTTTTTGTGGATGAACTTSCTCTGCTCTACCAGTACAGTAGAGAATAAATGCAGGAGAGACTGGGTCGTGTGGCTCTGAAGTTGTAATCTACTAAACTTTCTTAAATTTAGTCTAAGATGGAAACACAGTAGCTCACCATAGCTCAGAACACGCAATTACTTGATTAGGTAAAAGCTTCTCCATCCAGAATTAATACTTTTCCCTGTGCAAGTTTTAAATTAAAAAGTTCCCCTGCAATACTAACTAAAAGCATTATGGAAAAGGGAAAAACCATTACCACACTGTATTTTCAGAAGGTAAAGTCCCTATTATATTGTATGTACTCCAGGCAGAGTCCTTATCACAACTTAATTTATACCACATACCCAAAATAAAGTCAGCTATTACAACTAATTGATTTTTAGTTGGCCAGTGTAGCATTTTTCCATGGAACTGACACAAATTATTCCAGTCAGAAAGGTTCTGCTAGTATAAACTCCATCTAGTCTGATTATTTAGGACTTTTTCCCCAGTATGCCTGCACCAATTTTAAGACTTGTGCCTGYCTAGTCATATGTTAAGAAGGGTGAGAGAGAGGGTGAAAAATAGAGAAATGGAAATAGTGTTCCTGACTGACAGTACCATGCAAGCAAAATCTGTAGCTTTAGATCTCTCTTCAGAGGAGCTTTGCTACAGCAATGTGTGCTAACTGCAAAGGAATTCCAAGCAGTTTGAGCACTACGACCTGACAGAAGATGTAAAGGGAATCATGTCAGGCTTTTTTCTAGACTTCTAAAACTATTTGAGGAAAGTCAGGCTATCACTGGATGCTGTCCAACTTGAGTTTCACATTCATGTATGTTAACAGAAACCAAACCTCCTTTCTGGGCAATCAGAACACATGTTATCTTCAAAATGGTACAAAAGGACAATGGATTCCACAGGGCGAATTCAGGGTATGCCAAATAAATTCTAAATCTTTCTCACAACAGCTTCATAAGACCTCTCATGGCCTTGTCAAATAGGGTTAATGTTTAACAGCTTTCCATTTTATTGCCACTTTCTTTGTGAGCTTTAAAATAAATCCCTAGTGTGTCACAGACATTCCAGATATAACTTCACTGAAGTTACAGGATTARTTAAGGCCTAAACCAACGGTTTTGCCACTTGGATTCAGTAATTTTAATCCATCTGAGSAAAATGTTTCTGAAGAACATTCAATTTTTTTTTTTCCTTTTGTGGGTCCTGTTGAGGTTGGGACTTTTAAGACGCCTACAGAAGAAAAAGCAAAGACGATTTAAACCCGAGAAGACTGGCTGATAGAAGTGAACCAACTTGTGGGAATAYTAACAGAAAACACTTGTCACCTCAAAGGGCAATACTGACTTTAGCTGGTTAAAGAAGAAAATAAAAATGTGACTTCCCACCTCCAAGGTGGAACATCTGCACTGCTTGCAAGAATTGCTTTCGTTGGTAAAACCATCTGTGCAATTAAGATATAATAATCATGTAATTACCAAAATAACAGATGATGTAAATGTGTATGATGGATTTGTGTAGTCAGCAAGAATGTGGTGCCATAACACATTATCCAGTATGGTTGAAAATGTTTATAAAATACATACGTAAATTAGCTTAAGTATAAAAATAATGGTTACAGGGCTGCCTCTTTCAACCCTTCTTCAAGGGTGCTTTTGTCTCTGAACTGTGCTGTCCTATTATGAACTATTGCAGATAAATTTGGTAAACAAGGCAATATGTTGAAGCCTTTGAGAGGAACYAAATGTCCCCATTCCATAAGTAAGTGATTTCTGTGAAAATAAGTACGACTACTTGTTAATCTCAAGAGTGCTTGACCAACAGCTATTCAAATGAAAGTAAAAGGTGTGAAAAGATCCTGTCTCATCTCAGCCTAATAGGGCAACAAACATTTTTTGTTACAAATTTTCCTTCAAGTCTTCTGACCACTTACTCTATTTTCATACGTCCCTTGATACTTAAAGTTTTGGGACCAGGACATAAACTTTAAAACTTCACCCAAATTCAAACACCCACTTCTCCAGCTCTCTAGCTGCTTCTTTCTAATCCCACTTCATTCACAGAAGAACAACCATGTCAAAAAACCTCCACATGACTGCAAGATACAGACACCTGAAGAGATGTCCAGGAATTTAACAAAATAAAGTGATATGAAAAACACAATTCAAGGAAACCTCTTTGAAAAACATCCAACTGCCACATTTATTTATACTTATACCTGTGATTTTTATAGTTCCAAAGTTTTCAATGAATCTCATTTCCCAGAGTCAACAGTGGGAGAGATCTGAGATTAGTCTGGTTTTAACCCATTCAGAGCCTCTCTAGGACAGATCTGACAACTGGCACTGCAGAACAGCCTGGGTGGGTCAGAAATAGAGCTACCTTTGAAAGCAGCCCTTCACAAAGCTTCTGGCTTTTTTAACATCTAAGGCTTCTCAAGCTTCAGTGTCCAGCTTTGGTTGAAGCACACTGCTGCCATCAGCCTTAGAGATTAGAGAGGCACAGATATCACTTTATCCCAAAGGGAAATATTGCAAGCTTGTGGCCTTGAAGGGATGAATTAAKCCAGCTATGTTTCAGCCTGCATTTCCAGAAAACATTTCAGAYATGATTATAGGGTTGCTACACTATCTTTTCTCCTTGGGGCCTATCCTCCACAGCCCAAGAATCACTACCCTAATCTATTCAGACTGGCAGATTCAAGCTGACAGCTGAAACAAACAGAACAAAAAAGTATTAGGAAAAAGAATTAATGTACCTGTGAGCCATCCAGGGCTTGCAAAGACATGGCTTCATCACCCAGCCTCCAGTAYGAGCACACCTGCAGGTCTGAAATAGTTTCTAGCAAAGGGCTGTTTAAGGTCTCTGGCAACAACAAGCTTAAGAGCCCAGACAACAGACCAGTTGCTCCAAACACAATGTAAGGCAGAGACCACTGTATAGATTTCTAGAAAAAAGAAAAAAAAAGAGTTAGGCTGAGATTGGCTTCTTGTAGCTCATATTGCATATTAAAGGACCTACCCTTTACAACCATTCCCTCTGGCAGTGTTTGTGCTCCTATTTAGTAAAAAATTCACCAATCCCTCTGCTGTGGGTTTTTTGTTAGGTTTGGCTGGGTTTTTTACCAATATTGTCCATTGCATCTTGTCAATACTATTAGAGCTCCACAGATTTTGCCATAAACTTTAAAAGAAATGCCTGCTGGATTTGAATTCAATTCTTGAGCCTACTAAATACCTTTTAACAATGTAACACCWCTTTGTAGTAGGGAATAAATATCACAGAAACACAGATCTCTGCTTGGAGATCTTTTGAGATCACCTAGGCCAACCACCTACTCTGAGCACAACTACAGCCACCATTAGACCAGGTCAATCAGAGCTTTCTGTATTCAAATATAAAAAAAAAAACCTCCAAGGATGGAGGTTTCCCCTCCAAGTAGATTGTTCCAGGGCTGCATTAAGCCTTTCAAAAACATTATTTTCCAAATTTCCTATCTAACCCCTAAACCAAAACTTGTGACAAACATATTCTAATGATGTGGGATGCCATTACAAGCCTTACAAAAGCCTTCCCTGCTCTCCTTCCTTTCCTCATCCATATTGCCTTCTGTGATGAAATRGCTGACTATCAAATCAAATTGGCTGAGAAAGAATAGTCCTTAATAAATCCATGTTCACTGATTCTGATTGCCTACACATGCTTATACACTGACTCTGGGAGGTCGTGTCTGCATCTTCCCACGGACTGAGTTAGAGATGCTCAGCCTGTAATACCCTGGTTCTGCTTTCTGATATTTAAGACACACACAGGATTAGCCTTTTTCCTCCCAGAGCTACCAGAGATCCTTCACAATAGTGGCTTATCACAGATGATGGACACTTGCTCACTGTCACTATCATTCTTAGGGAATCTTATCCCATGGAATGGAAAGTTTTCTAGCTCTATATGTTCTTGAACCTATTGCTCCTCCTGCTGTTGGCTGGCCTTTGGTTTCCTCAACTRTGCAGATTGGCAGAGAGTCTTCGAGTCAAGTTTTGTCTATCCAGACTTAAATACAAGTATTTCAGCTTATTCTATGTCACCCACCAATGGGATGCCCATCCCATTCATCAACAGGCTAAACATTTTCACTGAATTTCCTTTAGCTGACAGAATCCCTGTTTATGCTCCTTGGTAGTTTTAGCTTCAACTGAGCTTTGGCATTCTTGGCATCACCTGTGACAGCCTAAGCATTGTCAATACTCCTCTTCTGACTTATCCCTATTCTCACAGTAAAGAAGGCTCATCTTAAAAAAGGAAAGGAGTTTAGCTATTTGTTTCAAAAACTCATCTTCTATAGTAAAGAGCAATTTCAAATTGAGTCAAATAACAGGCTGTGATCAAATAAAAGGCCAACATTTATCTCAGCAGTTAACTTTTCCTATTCTTACTATTGTCCAGACAAAAGACACTGAAAATGCATTAAAATACTGGAACAAATTGTGAAACATGAAAGTAATTGAATACTTTCTCAAATCAATATTGTTATTTAACCAGAACTATTTTCATTTTCATGGAACCCCTTCAAACATTATGATCCAAGATTTGTGTCTCATGCAGTATCAGATCTCTGGCAGACACAATATAATGGATKCCCCAATTGCTGCATAAAAGATGCCTATTAAATCCACCTGGTAGACTGGCAGTAGTGTTGGCTTTGCCTGTTGTTCCCCAGAGGTGCTCATGCTCTCACCTGCCCAGTGCTTCATTCTGCAGATTAAAAGGCTCCCTGTGCCCACCTGCCCTTTTGCTAACCTTCTGCCTCACACATAAGATGGCAAATGGCAGAGAGGAAAATTACCTGAAATGAAATCTGTCACATTAAAGGAATTGTCACAGGGCCTGACCAAACAGCTGGGAAAAACTGGCACACTTTTACCTGCATAYATATAAACACTGTAGGCAGAGAAAGTAATGGTACCATCCCCATGTTTTGTTCTTCAGAACCTTTCTTTGCTTTGCCAGTGTATCAGATCTCCACATCATTGTCATTCACTGGAAGATGAACTGCTTTGCTGATTTTTATAATCCATGGATGTTTAATCAAGTTGCAATGACAACAAAGCTAGTTTTTCCTCAAAAACATGAGTTATTGAGCTCATTTGCTATATTTTATTGCACTAGATCTTTTGACCACATGGGTCTTTWGCTATGGGCTTAAAATCTGGTATCACCATCTTGGTGATTTGAAATTATTATATTTTWAGGTCCCCCAGCTAGGTCCCAAAATTCCTACAAAACTAAAATACCTTCTAAATTAAATAATGTTGATGTTTTGTCTAATCCCACAGATGACACTGCAGTGCCTTTGGCATATCATGATACTGTTAAGACATGCAATTTACCTATCTTAGTTTATCCCAAATACTCCCGTTTCAGCTCTGATACAGCTGAGCCACAAAMCAAAAATATACGTAACAGAAGTTCAGACAAACCAATGAAGGGACAAARGGCGCAATGATTCCACCAACACGGGAAAACATGGAGCAGGCACCCATTCCAACATTCCTATAAAAAAACCAGAAATAATTAATGTTTTGAAAAGTGCCATTGAGGAAGGAAAAAGACTCATCARTCATGACCGTGACCACATTAACAGGCAAAGAAAAGTCAAATGTAATTGAAAGAATCCCAAGACATGAATGAAACATGTTTTTGYGATTAAAATGAAGCAAAAATCCCCTTTACATATAGAATTTTAAGATACACACATGGAGAGGCAAAACAAGTGTGATTTCAGTTCATGCATCTTGCCTCTGTCTAAAAACCTGGCTGAATTAATTTATCCAAATCCTATTTATCACCAGATTTACCAACTCATGAAAAACACCACAGTATAGTTTCACTGGTGGCTGATCATCATGTGCAGCTGTATGGGAGAAGTTTCTGTCTGCTCCATCAGCACAAGCAGGGAGTATTTCTGCCCCTGGTGAGTGAAATTCACTGCTGCTTACACACAGCCTATGAAGCATCAACTTATTTTCACAAAGGTTATTGACCAGACATTTTCAATGCTCCTGGTTAAGCAAGTATGAGTTGTCTGGTTTTATAAAGCACTCATTAAAAGAAATATCAGCAGTGSTATTGGTATCCTCATTAGCTGAAGGGGAGTTGTAAGCATGACAAGCAGCTAAAGGTCTATTTTACTGTTACACAAAAATATGAATAGTCTAAGGAGAACACTGCAAATTTGAGGGAAGAGGGATAAGGGAAAAAATTTCAGATTAAAAACTACATCTAATCATTATATATAACTGAAAAAWTCATATAAACACAGCTAATAGAAAAAAATTAAGGTAATTAAAAGATGATCATGTAAGAGAACCACAAAAATGAAGACTTAAAWTTAACTTGTGTTACCTGATGACTGTGGGATAAAGTTCTGATGTGTAAATGTAGACAATATTAAAAGCAGCACTGATTGTCAGTTTTCCCAGCAAAGACAGAGAGTGACTATTCACCACTGCAAACACTCCAGTATCTGAGAGAGAAAACGTGACCCYTGTAAGGCTTTTGAGAACTCCAATACACCTCTAATCATTTCAATCACACAATAATATGGTGGGAGAAGGCAAGAAGTGAAGAATTTAAAAGCTGAAGCTACAGCTCAGGATTTTCAGAATCTACCACTAATACTAAATTAGTTCTATCAGAAAGTTTAAGAAAAGTATAATAGATATACTTTTCAAAAGTGAGCACTTTTTTTTTAAACAAGAGTCCTATTCACTGTCATTTCTATAGTATGATAGYATGGTTCTAACATYATTACTTTGAAAGGAAYATGCTGTAAAGAACCATAGMAAATTTCYCATCCAACTTWGTTTGTCAGAACAGCCAGTGCTTATTTGCTTGAATCACACAAATCAAAGCTCATGCCMAGCAAAGTCAGGTGCTTCCTTYTGGCCAGTGAGCCATTTAACTTCCCAAGGCAGTTTGCCCCTGGCTGACTTGGGCAGTCCAGTACACAGCTGATTTCCTGTGGTCTCCCAGTTCTATCCTCTCTTTCCATATGTTGTATTTGGAATGATATGCAAAAACTACTTGATGACAGGTAGCAGCTAAACCAGAATATCTCCAAGTGTCCAGGCTCTGGAATAATTCTGAAAACTTGAGTTGCACTCATTTAAAAAAGCTTTACCTATTAGATTCACTGCCATCTAGAACAGCTTCTGCACTCTTATCATAAATGTTTAATTTTTTTAATCACTCTTCATGTTTTTGAAACGTTCTCTCACCTTATGAAAGGTAATACACATCCATAAATCTTATGAGGTGAATTAATCTATCTGGTTTTAAAAAGAAAAATTGCTACATAACCTGAAAATTAGCATTAGTACATCTTTACATAAAAGATGTTTAATTTCACATTTCTTTAAGACACCCCCAATTCAGAAGTTTATCAGAATGCTCTCTAAGCTGTAAGTTATGTGGCCACATTACCATTACTACAACTCCACTACTCCTGAACATCAGAGAGCAGTGAGGATAAGATGGCAACTTGCCCAAGACTCAATTCTTCTGATTTTCTGTCACTGGCTTTTCACTTGGAGAGACACATCCAAGTTGCTGCTACATACACTAACATATCATCTGGCTAATGGAGACACCACAGGAAATATTCATTGGGATTACATCAGAAACACTGGAAAGGAGCAACTGAGGCGAACAAAAGTAAAGGGCAGAACYCAAAGGCAAAAATTCAAATCCAAACTTTACTAACAAGTTTTTGCTAAGSTCTTAGCAAGGTTGCTGCTTATTCATTTCTTGAGTTGGTCATCTCTTCTTCTCTGGTTTCAAAGGTTGAGACTCACATATGGTATGAGACTAATCTTCCAGTAGCCATCAAATTTTTGGGCTGTACGATGCTGCCTTTACCAATTCCTACCACATACTCCAGAAAAAACAACAACTTACCCTTCTTCTTAGGCAGAAACATGACAATAAGAGAAGCCAACCCTCCCAGGAACAGAAATGTACTCAACGTTCGCTTCCGACCAAACCTGATATGCAAGGATAACAAAAGTTTATATTCTGTGTTAGATTTGTAGGTTGCAGAGTAATGAATCCTCTACATTCCCACTGACTCTTTATTTGCAGTTGGGAATTCTGAATACCATCTTCCACCAACACTTCCTCTCACACMGTTTTTAAAGAAGCTTCTGCTGCACACTTAACAAAGTAAGTGTCAACTTATACAGCAGCTGACAATTTCTAGGATTTTGAATTGCTTCCCACTGTGTGTGGCATTTGTAAACCTTCTCAGGAGACACAGAGAAGAGAGACTGGGAGGAGAATTCTACAARAACTGACAAGGCCAAGTTGTATTCAAACTGCTATTTGAAATAGAGGTAAATCAATGGCACTTTCAAACTGAAGTGGGAAAACCCACACAACAGATGTAAGCCAGGAGACATGATACACAGGAAACCTAACTTTGAGAAAAGTTAAAACAAAATCCTGAATGGGTTAATAAATTCTATACTTACCATTTTTGGTTAATCAAGTAAATACAGACTGGGTAYGCTGGGATTTCTACCAAGCCTGACAGGGCTAAATTGGCATAAATATTTCCACCTAAGTCACCCACATTAAGGGTAAGACCATAATAAACCAAGCTGCACACAAACCTGCAAAACACAGGAGAAAAAAAAAGTAAAATCAGAGCTGGTACTTTGCCTGCCAAATCAAATCACTGGTCTGGCACAWTATACTACAAACTATTTTTAGTGTTTCAGCAGATAGGTCTAAAATGTTTCTCTATAAGCATATGATGCTTTCTAGGCAAATTAACAATTTTGACTCATCAAAGACACAATGCCTGACTTAGCACAGAATAAAACTTCAGACTGCTCTTAGGAAGAATGTGCATAAACCAGAATAAAGTTAAAATACAATCATGATTATATTATCTGACTTCAGAAAAGTCTTTATCCCTTTTGTTTTTATCATGTTACACTTTCATCCACACTTWTTCCAACTATGTGCAAACCAAATTTCTCAAGCAATTAAAACAACACTTTAACCTTCTTTTAAGTTCTGCACCCTGGTCCAGTTTGATTAATTCTTCAACTCTGTTTAATTTTTCTTTTGTAACTCTATTGTCATATTAACCCCTGTAAAGGCAGGTGTCTTTACAGAGAGGAAAGAAACTGGTCACTAATTCATTCTGCAGCAAATCAGCAATTTGAACAGAAMAATCAACTATTTATTCTGCAATAAGCGTTTGGAAAAGCAACAGGAAAACAGCTCAGTGCTGCATGCGGGCAAAGTAATTTTATTCTTAACATATCTTTCCCAAATATATGCATTATAAAAGCAACTAGATGAACAGTAATGCCCAAAGACCTGCATACCATATCACACATAAGGTTTCTTTAAAGTAGCAGCAACAGACCTCAGGGATGGTGAGGTATCTGAAAAAAACCAGGCACTTTTGGGATAACATTTCTGCTAGTGACTAGAGGGAGCATAGGCTCCTGCTCTCCACAACAGCAAATGCCAGCACTGGCAGCACTTCCTCTTAAGAAAACAAACACCTTAGCCTACTAATGGGCTACTTACACACAAAACAAGGAATAATCCACGTGAAGAGATACTGACAGCACTGGGCCTAAGAGGACAGTGTGACTAATCTCACCAGCCTTGTGGGTCAGAACAGAAGGGGTAGTTCTCAACTATTTTGAGACTCAAAACACAAGACAGAAATGCAGAGATAAAACACCTCAGAACTGGATTGTAAAAATGGCTTTGTGTTAGAAATGTATGAAGGCAATGCTGTAATAGATACTTAAATACTATACTATAAAAAGGATATTAAAAGGATTCTTTTTAGATACAGTGTCCCCACAAAGTATTTCAATTACCAGGTGAACATCATGATCAAGGTGCGTCCCAAGAGAATCCTGTATCGGAACAGGTCCAGAAAGCTGCCAGCCTCTCTGGAGCTCCTCTCTGCTGGGAGTTTTAATGAAAAAGTGCATTTCTGCTTGCGGTTCCTCTTTGCAATGAGGTAGAGGGCATCTTCTGCCTCGTTCAGACGGCCCTGGGAATAGAGCCAGCGGGGGGACTCGGGAATGAATCTGAAACACACACACACACACATACACAGACACCTTCAGGGAGTTCCTTTTCTATGAAGCTGGACTTGTCTAAAAGAATAAGGCTGAAATACACTTCAGTATAATTGTCCTAGGTTAGCTGAGTATTGTATTCCTATCATCTGCTTATGTTAGAGGAAAGTTAAACAACCCTTCTGGAACTATACATTAGTTGAGACTGCTCTGGTTTGTTTGGTGGTGTTCCTCCCTTCAAGGACAATGGGAGGGAAAGGGACAAGACACACTTTTTTTTTTTTCTCGGGATCAGCGGTTGAAAAGAAGCTGTCTGCTCTCTGGTACTGCTCCTTTTTCTCCCTTTCTTTGGACTTGTTTTTCCTCGAATTTTTTTTTTCTTCGTCATCTGAGAATTGGAGGATTCTCGTGGCACGACAGGTGAGAAAGATCCTTCAGTGAACCACTGGAGAGACTCTGTCTAGCCCCTCTGGGGGCCCCGGAGGGGAAGCTACTCCCAGGAGGGAAGAGAAAGGCTTTGGGATCTAACAGCTTATTCCACAGGTTTTTCTTTTTGTTTTTATAATTTTAAATAAATAGGGGGGTTTTTTTCCCCTTTTCTTTTCACTTTCCTCTCTGTGGAAAAGGTTGTCTCTAGGACCCGGGTGGGGAAAAGAGAGCGGAGGGGTTTGCTGGAACTTGGGAGTATTTTGCTCCCATTAAATTCATTCAAACCACGACAATAATAAAGAGTTTTTCAAGCAACCCTTCAGATACAAAATTCCATTACTGAAACAGAAACAACGCATACTGAAAGGAAACACAAATCATGTATAATTTAGATATGAAGAAATTACATTGAGTGCATACTTCTGCACACACACAGTAAGCACAATATTACAAGTTACAGTATGATTAGRATCCTGTGTTTGGAGAATTCAGAATTAAGGAAGCACACATTACAAGTAACATATAAGTAACACAGGATGCTTTTGTAAGACCCAATAGTTCAAYCTCTCATTTTCCATTATGCCAACTTCCATTTCCCATTTTCCAGCTTTTTTCCCAAATTCTATTCTATACACAAGAAGGCAGAAACTGTGCAAAGGTCATGCTCCTCATGTTCACTGTTAACTCAACAAGTCTGAAACTTCAACATTGTCTACTAAACAAAATCTTCTGTTACTTTCAAGCTTCCAAAACTAATTGAAACTTTAGCCTTTGATCAGAAGCTTTTTAAGATTTTTGCCTTTGACCAAAAATTGTATTTTTCTTCTAAGTTTAAAAGAACGTGTGTTCTCACCAAAAAAAAGAGCTTAGAAAGGAATGTATTTTCTTCCCCAGCATAAAAATCTTACAGTATTTTCTACAGAGTGATTTTTAAGCAATGTGGCAGGGAAGCAGTGTGAAATTTGGAATTTAAAAAAACCCTTTCTTACGCATAACAAGCCTATGAGCACAGCTCTGAAGTCCCAAGCATAACTCACTTAAAAAAGTTGTATATATCAACCTGAAAGTTTGGGGTTTTTTTCCAAGGGTCCCAAGCAGCATAAGGTTTTGAAATATCTAAAGTGTCATCTCCGCTTTTCACCTCATGAACAGCCTCAGAGACCTTTCCCTGAGTTCTAGTGCTTCCTTTGAAAGGGTGTGTGGATTTTTTGAGGAGCAAAAGCTTTATTCAAAGAGTTACTGAAGTGAAATAGATACTGGAAAGGAAAAAACCTCTAGTTTAAACAGCAGCTAAAGTAATTTCCTTCTGTCCGTTACTGCAACTTAGATGTCAGGAAGGATGTAAGAAAAGAAGAGCACACTGCATCATATAGCTTTCAGTGTTSAAATTCACAAAGTCCCTATTATCTTCAAAAAGATCACATATGAAAAACTATTTGAAAAATTAAAGGAAGCTGTCTGTTTTTTTGTTTTTTTTTTGCATGTCACATTTAAGACTGAATGGACAAGCAATTCGGATGCTGCTTTTCTTCTGTTTAAACATGAGAAGCATCCCACTATCACATAACCACAAAATAATTTTTTTATCTTTTAACATGTATTTGTAGTGCCTTGTAGCACATGAGTTCAGATTATCCACATACACCAGCTAAAGAATAGGGTGTGCTTCTCTAGGGACTACATCTACAGTAATACTGCACACACAGTACAGTAGACTTACAGGCTTCTTAAATATTGCAGCACTACTTTCTGAATAAACAACAAAACATGAGGTGGTAGAAGTTGAGAAAATACCTTATTTACACCAATTCATGCAATCTTGGAAAGGCATCTTGATTTAGTAGTTTGATTACTTGGTTTTGTTTATGTTTTTAATTTTTTTTGAAATTACATTCTGTTTGAAAAACAACTTACAGAGAGAGAAGAAAGACAACTGTGCCTTCCAGGTTAACCACAACTGCCAGAGTCCTCCAGGAACGAATGAAGTACCCCAGTAAAGCATACTGGGCAATTCCCACAGCAAAGAACAAGCCACCAATAGAGCCTAAACATACAATTAAAAATAAAACAAAATATTATCACTTCTGCAAGAAACATCGGCAAATCTCAACACATGGGATCAATCAAGAACTCTTCATTAGCAAAAATGCATTCAGCAATTCAGGCAAAACCACAGCTCTTTGACCAAAGAATACCCTGTCCTTCACTTAAGCAAAGTATTACATCTAATTGCAAAGATAAACAAAAGCCCAAAAAGCACTCTTMTACATCCTTCATTCTCATAAAGCCCTGTGAACAATGAAGTCTTCTAATTCCAAGTATGTTTCAGCTTTCTATCTGTAAAAATAAATACTACAAAACATTGAAAAACTGGTAGTTTTAGGAATATATAGTATTCAYTTGCAGCTCCCACGATCTGTAAGATACTCTATCTTAAAACAGTCTCAGCACAGCATTTCTTGGGCTTTTTCAGTCAGGTCCTGGAGCTGTAGCAGCACAGGTTACATACATATCTGAAGGGCAGGTCCAACATTAGTAACCAAGACAGTCAAGGGTCTCTGTATCTTCTAAATTCTAATTACTCCATGAGACACTTTCATAAATCAACCTTTTTTTTAAAATGTATTTTTATGTTAAAAACATAAAACATATTTAATACATTTTTAACGTATTTTTACATAATTGACTCACCTTACCATTATATAAAAGCACTTTTGATTTCTTTTTGAGAACTGCCAGGAAGGAAAGAACTGACATTTAGCATTCAAACATTTAGCTCTGTTTAGTAGAGTCCAAAATTGATGGACAGAGCTCAGCTGTGACAAACCTTGGGTGAGTATTTAGCTGGGTAATATTCATGTGAGATGTTTCAGCTGGACCTTTGCTATCCTGAGTGATGCAGTTCTATGAATGGCCCCAAGTCACCTACTCTGCTTGTCCAAGGCTTTTATTAAACAAGCAGAGCTCAAAGACTTTGATCACTATGCTCAAGTGGAGGTAAATTTGTAACTGCAATGGTGTTAGCTTGGGGTGTGTGACTGGAATCCATGCATTCTGACAATAAAKGCACTTTACCTGCTAATGCCCAGTAGGCTGTACCCACACACTCATTCAGCAGGACAAAGGCTACCAGGGACATCCCACCATTCATCATCCCYACCAAGAATCGAGAAACGGCAAAGAATTCATACGAGGGTGAGAATCCGTTTGCAATAGCAAACAAGATGTCAAGAGCAAAACCTGGAAAACAAAGCAAAAAGTTTCATTTTAGAAGGCTACCTAAAGAAACAGARGCATTTACTGGTATTTTAATTTATGTCCACCAGCATCTCTCCTGAGCCATCAYAGTCAACAATACCACCAGAGGTTGCAAAGAAATTTAAATACCTAGAGTCAATATCAAMAAGCAGGGGACAAAAAAYGAGTGGTTTTTTGATACACAGTTTRMAGTTTGAGCCTTTAAATTAATTTCATGGCAGACAACTTTTTTTACACACTCAGAACCATTGTCTGACTCCAGTTAAAGGTGGCTTTATATTCATCCCCAATACAAAGCCACAGGTATAATATATGACCAAGTGTATCTCCTCATTTTTAGAAAGCATTGTATAGAAACCAGAGAAGAGAAACATTGCCAGGARAGAACATATGGAGAGTTTGTACTGCACAGCAGGCCCACCTTTRTGTGCTTTGAATGAGTGTTGCTTCTCAGAAGAAAAACAAAAAAAAAAARMMAAYWTTTTTTAAACTCTACATGCTCAYCCRTTGTCACACACCTTTACACAAAACCCGCAGTTTYAAATGTTGTTTGATCAAGGGRCAATAAGAAAGCTTATGAGCTTCARAASAGTACAAGGATCACAAATACATACAAATTAAATCATGCAGACAGGAGATAAAAGGTGCAGCACATTCCTAACAGGTTATACATGTAAGAATGCTGTTAAAAACCTACTAGAAATATTAATTGCAACTTGTAGAGATCCCATTAGCAAATGTTGCATGAGTGAAAGCCTTTAGGGCACGACTCACAAACCCAGAACACCTTGCAGTAATTCAAATGGTGACTGAAAAGTAAAATATTAATTTCATGTCACAACTTATATGGCAGAAGTATATTGGATTGTCAAACAAACAAAATCATAGTAYATGATTTACAGCTACATGTCCAGTTGTAAATCATGCAGAAACTGGGCTGTTGCCACTGATCTTCAGGAACACAACACCTCCACAACTCATTCTATCAGGTGGCAGTGGTTACCTGTGAGATAGACTTTCTTCCTTCCAAAGCGATCAGAGAGCTGGCCAAAGGAGATGGCTCCAACAAACACACCACTGAAGTACAAAGAACTGGCAGCACTGACTTTATATGATGCATTGCCAATTAAAAACCACTGGATGGAAAGGGGAGAAAAACAGAAACAAGAAACCAAAAAAAAGGTGAATTAATCAGAATCCAAGCAGTTCACCTACAGCTAATAACTGGAGGGGATAATATATATTTTAAAGAAGATCAAACTCTGCATGAATCTCCTAATTATCATATTCAGTAYATCACCAATCACCAAAACACAACTGCTGTCTCCCAAACTCACTGCAGGATACTAACAATTGTACAGTTCTCCCAAATCAAGGCAGTCTTTCATTCTGAAACCAAGGACAGATTCCTCACAATACTCTACTTTTTGCAGCTTTCTCCCASTTTTTCTTTTTCTGCCTTCTTTCACATAAAGCTATCAACCTAAATAGATTCAATTCTAGCTACTGACATGTGCCACTGCAGTGTGTAGGCCTACAATGTGAAAAAACAGTTATGGCTTAAGCTGGAAGATAATCCTGCAAATGCTCCTCTTTATGAACTGTCTTGTCACTGAATAATGCTTTGGTAGCATTAGACAGGTTAGTCAGTTTTTTGCACACACTCATCTTTTTTGCAGTGTACTTTGTCATTTCCAGTTCTTTTCAATTCCAGATACAAAGCGGATCTTGAAATGTTTGATTCTTACAAACTTAATGTCTCAAGCTGAACCTGGCAGAAAATTCTTTGCCCGACAGAAGTGTAGAATGAAAATATGCCACGCTCTCATTTTTCAAAAGTTATTTTCTTTTGTATTCAAAACACTCCACATTTTCTGTTCTCTTCTTTTTTTATTCCTTTTGCACCTTGAGATAATGTTTCCTTTTAGTGACAACCAACTCTTCTTCCATGCTGGTAAGCTGGTGATTATGTCATTATCCCTGCAATAATACTCTAATCTTCTACTCATAATCTTCTCTTCCTCTACCGAAATCCCATTAAATATCCTTTCTAGCAAAGCTTATATTATTTCAAAGCTCGGTTATAAACTACCTCATCATGAGAACAGAGCCATGCAATTAAACCTCACCAAGATTAGAAGCTAACAACACATCATTCATAATCTCCAAGAAAATAACTTGCTTACTTTCTGTATCTGTTTCATTTTGCATTGTCACTTTAATGGGGAGGTGGTTACTGATACAATAGGAAATGTGCCCAAAAAGAGCCAAAACTGAYAAAATTTAACTGAAACCAACCACAGACCACAAATCAGCTTTTGAWGCTTCTGAAGACTTTAAAAAACAATTCCCCAGAAAAATACATATGTAAAATGRTTGTATATAAGATTAATTTTATCCTGAAATAACATGGTCAGTTTGTTTTATAACAGCTACAACAACCATGTCCTAACTTGTAGTATAAAAACTGAAAAAGCTGCCAACATGAAAATGGCATGATATGGTTTMTGAATCATTCAGGGATTAAGGGATAATTTGGCTGCAAAGCAAAATTTGTTCTGAAAATTTATCTCAACATCTAAGTCCTTCAGAGRGCTCAAGGCTTTTCTCTTCTACATGAAAATATGCTACATATATGGTATTCACAAATTGAGCTTTTTACATCAGAATATTTTTCAGTGTGAATTTGTAATGGTCATGTTATCAGTGATGCTGCAAGGTTAGCATTAACACATCCTCCTCAAAAGCAGAAGAAAACTTCTTCACAATCAATCATGAGATAATTAATGAATTAGTGGTGAAATATTCTTCAAGTATGTATGTTCTCTCTCAAAATMTTTGTGCTTAGCACAGAACTTCCAAATATACCAAACATTCAGCTAACTAATTCTGCAAAGCTGTATTTTAATAGACGAAAACAGAAGAGGTAACAGTATTTTATTCACATGGGCCTTTACTGAAATGTATGCTAAAGAATTACAAAGCAGTATGTACAAAAGTTGCCTTGGGTTTTGGTTTTTCTTCTTTGGTTGTAGGGATTTTTTTGTGTTTTGTTGTGGCTTTGGTTTATTTTTTGTTTGTTTGTTTGTTTGTTTTTTGTGGCTGTTGTTTTTGCTGTTGTTCAAGAAGGCTTTGTTCTTTATCTGCATTTCTTATTTATGCAACCAAAATGCATAAAAATCTGTATAAAATCTATATGGTATGCTAGGGTCTACAAGCATCTCTGACTCATCAAGTTTAAAAGAATGAGAGATTCTTGGGTAAGTTAAAAAAAMCARAAARAAAAMCCCAGAGAAAATTTTAAAACCTTACTCAGTTTCAAATAATGTTTAAGAAATCCACCATCCATTTTCATTTAAATGGTATCATAAGTACTCATATCCTCTTTATTGCCAGAACAAGAAGCAATGGCTTGGTACTATTCCAAAGCTGGCCATTTTTATGAATATGCCCCTAACCAATAAAGTGCTTATTAATATGCTCCTAACCAATACATTACTCCACAAAAAGGAGTAATTTAGATAGCATTAATATCTCTGGACAGCAGCCATGAACTATCAAGTGGGACTACACTTGACTCCACAGTTGAACTCTACATTCAGGTCTTGTAGCCAATGCACTCAGGGCTCTTGCACAGAACAATTTGACRTTAACAGATACTGACAGCCCTGGGAAGGGCAGGTGTTGCACACATCAGTGCAGAGTCTGGAATCATTCCTGTAGGGACTGAGGCTCGACCATGGAAGAAATCWCTTAAAAAACACTGAGGCAATGCCAACAAAGCTAAAGCTTATTTTGGAACAGAATGGGAGGGAGCTGCTTTGTCCACCTGGCTCCCACTGCTTGTCTTCTCACACTTGGAGTCACAAAAACTGCAGGAGCACTTCCTTTCCAGTTCCTCCAGTGCTTGCTAACTGCATGATGGATCCACTACATGCACTGGAGCTCAGCAAAGGGGTTGCAAGAGGTGAGCAGAAAGAGCCCAGAGTCCCTAAGGGGTTTTGAGTATATTAGTGAAATGGATGTTGTGATTCCAGCTCCAGTGTGGAACAAGGCTACAGGATCCCATACGTAACTTCCACATGGAAAAGGTGGGAAGTTTTGAAGCAGAACATTGGTCAAGGTCTGCACAGGAATATAAAACTAGCTTTTGTTGCCAGTAAGGGCACATTATCTGTTCTCTAACTGAAGATGGTATGCTTCATTTGCTAATTAAAACATGCATTAGCATGCAAGAAAGGAGTACAACCAGTCCCCCAAAACCATCTCAGAAAGATTTACTACTCACATATGAGGCTGCAAAACACATTTCAGACTTACCTCAGAGACTATGGATGTGAAGCTGCTGCCAAAGTGTACATGCTTATGCACCTCGCTGCCGTTGGCAGTCAGAAGCCATTCCCCAAAAGCTCTCTGATCACTCGCTGAATGGTTGCCATGGCTCTGATTAGCTGAGAGCTCTTGAAGATCCCAGTGGTAGGGAGGAGCTGCACCCACCAATGCGATGAGGATGGCTTCAGTGGCCACATAGAGCTGGCATGAAAGACAAAAAAACATCAGAGATGCTCAACTTGCATCCAAGTTTCCTTCCAAGCAATGTTTCCTCCACGGCTGGATCTAATCAATATTAAAAATACTCCTATTTTTACRTTTGACTTCTACCACTGTGAGATGTCAGGTACAGCCCCTGTCTACCAAACAGCACACACTGATGATCCACAGCTTTAACAAAGTGGCTCTTGCACTTTTTAAGTGTCAGATATTTGAGAGAAAAGAAGTTCCCCTCCTGACACCTTTCCTTCACTCAGAGGCCCCCAAACTCCCATCCACAGCAAGTATAGATCCTGGATGGAAGAAGAGTTATTAGAAGTACTAAGAAGGAAAAAAAGCTCCTATTCCTTAATGCAAGTCTATTATTTTTATATTCTCTCCTTTCACCTATGTTGTTCACTCCTCTAACTTGGTATCTGCAATAAAGAGATCCTCATGGTTTCACATCTAATCTTTCCCAGTTTTAATAAAAATAATTCTTTCTTGGCTTTCTATCTTTTGTGAACTTGTTTTACTCTTAGAAGAGATGGAGGTAATCATGTGAACATTCACATGCATTTTTTATGTATCTACACATTTACAGATACACACAAAGTCTAAACAGAATGACCAACAGCTACATCTGTTTAGGAAAGAATAAATAAAACTGCTGGAAACCSAGACATTTCAAGCCTGGTCTAGAGCTGGGTTACTGCTGCTTGCTCAGAAGAACATTCATAGGTCACATGACAACGACAGCTTGAAACTCTGTGGTTTGAGACATGTTTGAGCATAGAAGTGTCACAAATTCTGCAAGAGAAGATGGATCATAAAGTCTTCAGAGAGACAAAAGGAGCTACTAGTAACAACCCCACCACATTCTCCAAATAAAACTGCTYCATCTCAAGCCCTCACTGAGGAACTGTAACTCAGCATAGCAGTTTCTGACAAAACAAACAAACAAACCAACCAACCCCTTCCTCCATAAAGAACCCTCATTCATGCMTCTCCATCCTTCAAACCCTCCTGAACAGTCCTTGCTCTGGTCCCAGCATCTCCTCTCTATGTTCTAGGGAAGAATGTACCCACAAGAAAATGTGTTCTCTCAGAAGGCAGCTACACAAATAATTTGCAAATCTGGACTATAGGCACAAAAAAAGCAGCCTGAGGACCTCTGAATTCTGATGCCAGCAACACCAGACAGTACTACTCTGTTCTGTACAACAGCTGAGCAGCTGGAGTTAAACCCAGCTCTAAATGAGAATTATTACTAAATTAWCACAGAGCCCCCCAACTTATACCTGAAAGTGTTTTTCCCATGAGCTCTTTTTTGTATTCTACATGATAAAACTGCTACTTTAGTGGCAGGAGGTAGATAAATAATTTTTAAAATAATTATCTTTCCATTTTCCATTAAAATTATCAAATATCTGAAGAAATTTGGGAAAAAAAMMCAGTTAAATGTTATTATTTAAGCTAAAGAACAGCTTCTAGATCAACAATGAAAAGTAAAAGAACTCATCTGGGAAAGAAGACAATGACTAAGATCACATGGGAAAAGGGGTTTTARAAAGCTGAGTGGCCATGTTGCTAGGGATGTGTGGATACAGAACTCTCAAGAACAGCTTGAAATTACTAAGAAACGAGAATTACAGGTCAGGAGGTGTGGTGCATCCCTCTACTCTAACTTGCTCACACAATTACATGTCAGGACTAAGTGATAACATCCTTGCTTTTGTCTTGAGAAATAATAAACGTATTTTTGAAGTAGATGAGGAAACGAAATCCTCAAGGCGCTTGGTTTAAAGAAGGAAAACATAACACTCTTCACTTTTGCTCTAAGTGAAAACCATTCCAACTACAGAAAACTGAATAGAAAAATAAATGATTGCAGGCACATAGAGAAACACTACAGATTTTTTTTTTCAAAAAAAGAAACAATCAGCCTTAAACATCCTATTGCCTGTAGCAGCTAAGGGTATAACAAAGACAGAAACACTTTCAATTGATCTGCAGAGTCGGAAAAACAAAGATGGAGACATGTTTTGATGTTATCAAATGGTATGGGATATACTCGAGCTCACTGAGTCACTGCTGACACAAGACTCTCCTTTCTAGTGAACACCTGTCTTGTGCTTCAGGTTAAAGGTACAATAAACCCTATTAATTTCATTGTGGAAACAAAACAACRCCCACAAAACACCCCCCAAAATTAATTTACAATTCTAAAGGTCAGGAACATTTTCTAGAAGTGGTCTTAAAAACATGATGAAGGAAACTCTAGACTTAATTACAAAATAAAGTTTTTATTCAAGTAAGATTTGTGATAATGAATCTGACAATTCYTCCTTTAAGAATTCTAAATGCTTGAACTTAACACTAACATAGTTGTGCAGACTGGTGAACAACATAAAACACTAACAAATCAAACAGAAATGTAACAACTGTTTGAAATATAAAATGGCTACATTATACGCACTATGGCAAACAAAGCCCTTCATTTTTCATTTGCTCAATAATTCAAGTCAAGTCAAATACATGTCATTTAGTGTATAGCCTCTGTTCATAAAACATTTTAATTGGCTCTGTACGGATGTGAACAGCTCTCTACCGAATTTCCTGCACTGATCTGTATTAATCAAGATGAATACCAAGCACAGGAGCACAAGGCACCAGCTCAAAGTCACTGATGATGAGATGCTTARAGTTCTGTTAGCTGAAGTTTCTCTTGTTTGTTAATATTCTCCTTAGGTTAAAATTTTATAGTCTGCCTAAATTAGAAGACTGTGGTGTAAGGGAGTTTCTTAAAATGCAATGCCCTAATAACCTGTAAACTTTCACTCTCCCTGCTAAGTAGAAGGGATTTTAGTTAGCCAGTTACAACTATTTCACAATCAGGTTAACTTAATTTTAATTTTAATAGAAGCACCTACCATAYCCTGACTAGCTTTCCTGATGTTCATTTTAATACTAAATTACATCCAAGCAAGATGTAGAATCTCTAATAAGACCAGCAAGGAAGGGGGAGAAAGAAATTAAAAGTTTCATTTGTGTATCATGAAAATRAACACAAAAATAATTTAAGAAACTCTTTTAGACTTCATAATTTACCATAACTTACAAATGAAAGAATAAAAGCAAGACTTCAATTCTAGTAAGAGAAGCTTTTAGTCCGCTCATTAGCAATTCACAACTAGCCTGGTCATTCTAGACTATCAGCTGAAGCACTCACTGCCGAACAAAATAATGAGTAAGACACTAACTTCTGACCTTTCAAATACAGAAAAATTAAAACTGCACCCTGAGGAAAGACAGAAGTTAAGAAAGAACAATGAATGACCTTGGTCTGGTAGAAGTTTTTGATAAAGAGATAGTTACAGTTCAGGATTAGAGTAATTTCTTCTGAATCCATGACAAGCAGCTGAACAGCTGGAGGGCAACCTAATTTTTCATAATCTGATGATATCATCTGCTCCAAGTAATTTCCAAAGGATGAGTTGGCTTTAAATTCACATTATYTTTTCTCCTCAGTAACATCTATGCAGAAAAGTCCAAAAATGCCTCTTGCTGCAAAATTATTATCTGCTGCTGAGAACACATTCCTCTATGAAACTACCTKTCCTTCTTGGTGGCATAAGAGGGAGAACACGGTAGGACAGAAGGAAAGCCTGTCAAAGTGAAGAATCACCATGACATCTCTTGGTCACTTATCAACCCCAGCCCCACTCTGACAGGAAATACTTCCCATGCAGAATGTAACCGCTGTTGGTTATTACCTGTGACTTAGCAATGACAGAGTGGATACGTATTTTGAAAGAACTTCATGTTTCTGCAGAGAAACAGAGAAAACCTACCCAGTTTAGAGTTTTTCAGCCTGAAATTGCTGACCTCCAGAATCCACAGCAAAAAGTCCAAAGTCTGTCCAAAACCTTACATAACTTTATTCTAGAAATTCTTTGTCTACAATGAAGACAAACACGACACAGCAGACCACAACTCTAAGAGCCTCRCCTCCTACAGATTTGTGGAAAATATCCCTCTAGCTTCCCCTTCCTGTTCCAAATATCCAAATACATACGTCTCACCTCTGTTTCATGATCAGTGCTATTTGGTGGGCAGTGGCAGCAGCAGGGATTTGTTGTGGCTSTGTTGCCTTGAAAGGCCAGTTTTTAATAATGACACAGACACGGTTAAGGGGATAAAAGGGTTTTACYTCGGTATTTGGGATCTGAACTTGATGGCAGAATGCACACCCATGTACAGCACGGGTACAAGTTTTATAGGTTTCAGGAATTAGCATATCTATCTAGGATTCCCCAATAAGAAACTTMACAARTGCAGTAATGTCCCCCTATTCTAATGAATCCCCCCCAGATGAGGCCAGAGCCCAGTTTACACAAGATGTTCTGGACAGAAGGCTTCACCCAAGGCTGAGCTCGGGTTTAAGATAGCACAGGGCACACTGACTCCTTCCTCAGGATGTTTGGTCTCTCTGCCCAGCAGAACTCCTAAACTAAGCTGGAGTATCAGGCTCCAGGAATTACAACCATGTGGGCTAACGGGTGCAGGGGAATGCATAGAGGGTACAGAAAGCGTAAAAAGGAAAAGCAAAAATCATCAGGCATCAGCTGCTGCTCAGCCTGGCCAGCCAGCACATGTGCCATACACATTCAAGAGCTGCTTTACTTTCCACGGTCAAACACTGGTGTCTGAAGAGCAAATACCTTCATTGTACAAGCCTTCTGCAACATCAGTCCAAGYGACTCCTGTGTGTGTGCACACCTCTGCCTGACAGGGCCATTGGAACATGGCACCCTCACATCATAGGTTGACAGCTCCCTGAACACAAATAAAGAAGCTGGAAGTGTTCTCTTTCTGCCTTTAAGAACACAAAGCAAAAAGAAAGCTCACACARATAAGTTAAGAGAACCAAAACAATGAACACAAACCAAAATTAGAAAAAGCACTATAAATACTACCACTAGTTCAACAGGAACATTCAA